TAGCTGAGTGAAGGATGGCAGCTCTGAGAGGTTTGAGCAACATGGTTTAGCCAGACGGCTTTGAGTTGAGTTATAGCCAGGAGGCTTGAGTTTATGTTTGCTTCTGATATTACACTGGTGGTTTGGGTGAGGCTATAGGGGTTGGAGGAGGCCTCATAGGGACCCACAGGGTGTAGGGCCCTAGTGCCAGTCAGGGTGCAGTTTCCTCATGAAGGGGGGGAACCCCAGCGGTATGGGAACCCCAGCGCCAGTGAGGGCGCAGCGCTAGTGAGGGTGCAGTGTTCTCAAGGGGGAAACCCAGTGGTATGGGAACCCTGGTGCCAGTGAGGGCGCAACTTGCGGGGTACGTAGACCCCAGCCCCAGAGAGGGGCAGCTTTGAGAAGCCCCAGTGCGGGCACGATGAGCCCCAGAGAGGGGGCCATATTATTAGGAAGCCCAGTAGGGGCACAGCAGCCCCAGAGAGGGGGCCATATTATTAGGAAGCCCAGTGCGGGCGCGGTGAGCCTCTGAAGAAGGGCTAGTGCGGCGATAAACCCCGGAGCAGGGTAGAGTGCTGCGGTTGCCCCCGGTGAGAGGGGGTAGTGGCACGGTGAGCCCTGGGAGAAGGGGGTAACAGCGCGGTGGGCCCGAGAGTCAGGGGGCGTTACCAAGAAGTCCCCAGAGTGGGCGCAGAGAGCCCCAGATGGGGGGCTGTATTTTAGAAGCCCGAGTTTGGGTGACATTGCAGGGAAAGCCCCAGACAGGGGGTGACACTATAGTAAAGGCCCCAGACAGGGGGTGACACTATAGTAAAGGCCCCAGACAGGGGGTGACACTATAGTAAAGGCCCCAGACAGGGGGTGACACTATAGTAAAGGCCCCAGACAGGGGGTGACACTATAGTAAAGGCCCCAGACAGGGGGTGACACTATAGTAAAGGCCCCAGACAGGGGGTGACACTATAGTAAAGGCCCCAGACAGGGGGTGACACTATAGTAAAGGCCCCAGACAGGGGCAACATTACAGGGAGGCCCCGAGTGGGCTCGGAGAGCCCAAGAGAGGGCAGTACAGCAGGGGAGGCCCCAGGGAGTGGGCGAGAGTACGTAGAGGGGGCCCAAGAGACGGGCTGTGTGTGTGTGTGTGTGTGTGTGTGTGTGTGTGTGTGTGTGTGTGTGTGTGTGTGTGTGTGTATGAGAGAGAGACATACCAGCGTCTATCCCATCAGCGAGGCTTGGGGCGTGGTATTAGGGGTTGGTAGGAGCCACACATAGCTCATAAGGCTAGGGTGCCTGGGGAGCACCCATCATACCGGGAGACCCCCAGGGGGTCTGGGAACACACGGGGACAGAGGTCCCAGCTAACCGTGCCCAGGGAGTCGTAAGGCAGCCTCCCAACTTTATCTAACCATCAAAGACGTGGTGGGCGAGAATTTGAGGGTGCCCTTGGGCCGACTTGGCACAGTGAGGGGGCCATAAGGAGATCACGGCCCTCCTAAAGGACCCCGCCGTGACAGGAGAATCTAGTGAAAACCATGAAATATATGTATTTAAACACTTAAAGGTATTTAGCGTCATAATATCCTATGTAGGATGATCCAGCTCTTGGGTGTACCCTGATTAAGCTAATAGAATGTCCTTATCTTTTTTTATGACACACAGACCAAGTTATGAGGAATAACCATTTGTAATGGAAAAATATAATGCTTCTCCACTGAAGAGGGAACCTTTTCCACTTGACTGGATATATAATTCTTATATAATCCTTCCTAATTTGTATGAGAATATTTACAGAATCTCTTCATCATTAAGTAACCATCCAGTTTTCAGCACTGAGGGATGTAATGAAGCCAGGTCTGGATGCAGTTGTGGAGGATTAATAGGTACTCTTCGCTTCATATGGCTTCCTTAGTTGACACAAGGTAGCAGGCTTCACTGACAAGGTATCACAAGACTTCAGAGAGAAACTTGGAACTCAGACTTCAGGTTTCCTTACAGATGGTGATTGACATATCAGGAGTTGTGGTGATATCGATGACAAAAGCTACAGTGAGCAGGGCATGACCAAGCCTCGGAATTCTCTAAAGAAATATGAAGTAGAATAGGGAATCTCTTTTTCTACCTTAAATTAATTAAGCCATATGAAGCACAGGGTAGCTAGTAATTGGCAATCTTGAACTAGAGCATTTCCTTGCAAAGAGAAGTGGGGTACCACAAAGGTCTTTTGCATCTAATGCTGTTCCATTTTTCAATTAATGATTTGGATGTAAAGATAGATAATATATTAATCAAACTTGCAGGTAACACCCTCAAATTTGTGAGGGTTGCAAACACTTTGGAGGCTGGGATTAAAATTCAAACGGGTCTTGACAAACGAGCACTGAGCTACACTATAATAAAATTATTGTTTTATTATAAAAATAAAACAATGGCATATGTAAGCACTATACATGGGAACAGAAACCTATGCAGGGATGAGGCAATGGGACTGCCCAGAAAGATGTGGTGATTATAGTAGAACACAGACTTAGTGCAATCCATAATGTGATGCTGCTACAAAAGAAATGCAATTTGATATTGCATTTAGAGAAATAAAGTATGGAAGACTTAGGAAAATATAATGCTATTATTATGCTACTTGGCAGCAGCTGGAATACTTTGTCCAGGTTTGGACACCATATTTTAGGAAGGGCATACAGAAATCACAGAGGATCAGGAACAAGCAGCAAAGATCAAAAAAGGAATTGAAATGTAAACTAAATAAGGATAGTTTGAAAGGACTTGGAACAATTAGTTGGGAATAAAGGAGATGGGGAATGGAAAAGATGAGGAAGACGCATGAGAGTTTTCAAATACTTAAAAGGCTGCCATAAATAAAATAGAGAAACATTGTTCTCCCTTGCCACAGAGGGTAGGATACAAGCCAATGGCAAAGCATATTTGCAAAGCAAAGCATATTTAGATTACGTTTTAAAAGACCGTTTTCCACAGTGGTAAGAACAGTAGGGCAACCTCCTTGTGAAACTGTCAAATCTTCTTCAATAGAGACTTCCAGGAAGAGGCTGGATAGGCACCTCTCTCAGATAATTTCAGAATAAAGAATCCTGCATTCACGAAGGGATGATCCTTGAAGTCCCTTTCAATCAATGAATCTTCTCCCATGAGAAGTAAACCATTCCT